GGAGCTGCTGGTGCCCAGTTGTTCCCCGTGGATGTCCCCGTGTCCCCCGTGGCACCGTGACCCCGTCGGATCCGGGCTCTCTGGGAAACCCTGGGGTGTTTGATGTGCCTGGCCAGGCTGTTCCTCTGCAGCTGTAGTGCTGCTCCGGGTCTAAATTAAGTTTTCTGTGACACTCCATAAAAAATGTCACTCTCCATCCTATTTAACTAATTTCAAAGGCAGAACCTTCCCCTGAAGTGTTTGAACTCTGGTAGAAAACTGCGGGGCAGCTGCTGGTTTCCGGGCCTCTGTTAATGTTGTCTTTCACCTGGGCTCCTTTGAGCTGAAATTCCCCTTTTTTTCCCAGTTTGTTTTACTTAAAGGAACACAGTTCATTTATCCTATCCTGGAGCTTTGTCCAAGGGTAGAGCTGGCAAAGCTCTAACAGGCCCTTTATAATTAGGCTGGTTGTCAGCACTGAGATGAGGGTGTGGGTTGGAATTATTGGGGGCACCTTTCTCACTGTGAGGGGGGAAAGGCAAGTTCAGTGCAGAACAGTGTCTTTGAGAGGACTGGGAATACAAAATTGCTGGAGCTACCCTTTTATACCACAAAAAGAAACCATGACCTGACCTCTTGCCACATTTTTGGCTACTAACATTCCATTTATAGCTATGGGTTTATTTGGCTACAGCTCAGAGTAGTTTGTGCACAGTGTTACTTAAATGGCAGAACCAGGGCTGGGTTTGGAGATGAGAAGCTTCTCTGCCACCAAAAACACTGAGTAGTGACAAACTCCCTGGGTTTCCAAGGCAGTGGAATGTTCTGCAGGATGTCTGAGGACAGCAGCACTCAGGTTTGGATAAGAAGGGGTTCAGAAGGCAGGGATTGGGAACCTGCCTGACAGCAGGAGAATCCTCCTTTTACAGTGCTTCAACCCTGGGGCTGTTGGCAGAGCTTTATTACTCTATTTAGCACTCCATTATTCTATCCAGTTATTATTTCAAATTCAAGTTGCTGAACTTTTCAGCATTTAAAAACCCCACTAATGAGGCTCATTTCAGTAGTAAATCAGAAGTGGGGGAGAAGCATTTGCATGTGCAACATCCATTGCACTTTTGCATCTCTTATGGTTATTTTTTTACAGCCCAGCCTTTTCAGCCATCATAACTCTCAATATTCCTGACTCACTCTTCTCTCCCTCTTCCTATTCATCACTCAGCCTAATCTCCCTGGGGAAACCTGTTTGCTGCTTAACCTCTCACCCCGTGTTAAACAGCTAATTTCTCTTTTCTGCTACTGATCCCAGCAGCAGGTTCAACTTATTTTGTGTTTGTTTTGAAGGGGGACCAGGGAAGCACAGGAGGGTTACAGTGTGGACAAGGATAATGCTCCCATCATAAATGTCTGCACACCTTTCACGTAGCAGCTCTGGAACTGAAGTTGGTTGCAATTAAGCTTCAGCATTAGGACTTGCAGTGCTTCAGTGCAAGGAAATTACTCTTCCTAAACCTTGTCAAAGGACATTTTTATGTGCCCCTGTAATGCCCAAAGCTGGCTGCCAGGCATTTAGCACTAATATTTGATTTACAGCATGATCTTTTTATAACTAGGTGAGAGGGTCCTTCGTCAGCTCCACTTTTAAACTGCCTAAATTAAACACAGATGAGTTGTACATGTTACACTGCTACATCTTCTGACACACTCCTGGAGGTCACTCAAAACAGGTGAAGACGTGGGTTAGTTTGCTGCTTTTAGCTCCAAGCTAATAATTTTTGGTTTTTTTCTTTGTTGCAGCTTCATAGCAGTGGAGAACATCGACAGCTACTGTGTGCTGATCTCCTCCAAGGCCGTGTACTTCCTCAAGAGCGGGGACTACACGGACCGCGATGCCATCTTCCTGGAGGTCAGGTATGATGACCTGTACCACTGCCTGGTGTCCAAGGACCATGGGAATGTCTACATCCAGCTCACCAAGAAGGCTGTGAACACGAGCAGCGGGGTGGCCATGCCAGGCCCTTCCCAGCAGAGACCCATGGTGAGCTCCTGGCACCTCCTTCCCCTCGTGTGCCCCGAGGGTTTGCTCTGTCAGCACTGGAACAGCTGTGCTGAGGGTTCAGTGAGTGTGGAGTTTAAAGAATCAGAATATCCTGAGCTGGAAGGGACCCACCAGGATCATCCAATCCAACTCCTGGCCCTGCCCTGGACACCCCAACAATCCCACCCTGTCCCTGAGAGCGTTGTCCAAACAATCCTTGAGCTCTGGCACCACTGCCCTGGGGAGCCTGTTCAGTGCCCAGCCACCCTCTGGGAGAAAAACCTTCTCCTAATATCCAACTTCAGGCACTCCCTAAACTCCTGAGAAAGCTAAAGAAAGGCAAACCCTATAATATTCCTTCAGGCAGAAAAGTAACAGGAAGAAACGTGTTTACCTATGAAAGACTTTTAACTTTACCCCATAAATGGAACTTGGGTACTTTGCTGGCTTTTTACTCATCTCCTACTTGTAGTGGTTTTTTGCTGTGAGGTCTCTAAAACTGGAAACAGTGTTTATGTCAAGCATATAAAAGTTAATCAAGGCTTTCTCTTCTAAAGCCCATTACAGGGCTTTTTGTGCCATTACAGTAGTTGCTCAGGGGCTGTTTTACAGGCCCAGTTACAAGCTCACCCCTGACCCAAGGCAGTTTACATTCCAAACAGAGCAGCCAGATAAAAGGTAGGAGGGGAAGCAAAGGAAACAACCTCAGATATGTAAGATGTTCTGCTCTCACCCTTGAGTACCTGTCTGTGTGCACCTGGTGCTCCACTTGCTGCTTCTTCCTCAGCCTCAGCACTGAGCAGGGATCTCCACTGACACCTTTCTGTTCCTCACTTCAAACCTAAAATCTCTTCTGCTTTAGCTGACGGCAGGAAACGAAAATCCCCTTTCTTTCTGCAGGTGAAAGTGAAATCAGAAGCCCTGGCAGTAAAGCTGTCTCAAGAAATCAACTATGCAAAGAGCCTTTACTACGAGCAGCAGCTGATGCTGAGACTCAGTGAAAATCAAGAACAACTCGAGCTGGACTCTTGAAAACCCACTTCCTCACTGCCAGAGTGACCTGCAAGCACCAGGCTGGAGCCAGAACTGAGAAGGCAAAAAATATAATTTTAGTATTTAGTGAAAACAGGAGAGGTGACTTTTCTTTTTCAAGCACTAGGTGTGTAACAGAGGTGTAGCTGACACAGCTTTGGGTCTGGGAGAAGCCCTGTATTTTGCTAACATGTATATATGTACAAGTGTCCATGTAAATACGAGCGGGCAGGCGGGTGTTGGTATAAATACAAGTCTGTTTACTGTGTAAAGAAATTAAAGGAGCTCTACTGAGTCGTACTGCACTACCTGACACGAGCCCTCCTCTCTCTCTGTCTTTTTTTCCCTTGAGAAAACTGCTGTTCAAAGTGCAGGAAAGTAGATAAACATTGAAAACATAAAATTAAGAGTTAATTTCAGCTATTGGAGCACAGGTGGCCTGTGGTTTGGAGCTTTAACACTGTGAGAGGGGTGAATTGGTTGGGGTAGTTTAATGGGATTTTTGTTGGGTTTTTTCTCCTAACTCACTAGTACAGGTGAGTGCACAGAGACCTGGTGTTCCACTGAAATGTCAGCCTCTTTTTTTTTAAACAAAAATTGCATTTTGGTGAATATTACAGTGAGGACTCACTAATTCAGTTTTGCATTCACAGTGTGCACCCCAAGGCTCCTTCTTCTGACTTGTTTCTAAAACAGTTGAAGGGAGGAGCCTTGGAAATGGAATCTCTAAGTTCAGGTTTTCCCCTCTCTCAGATGCAGGGAGGGTTTAGAGCTGGGGGAAGTGGTGCCTGGAAGGGGGGGGAGAGGAAATCACCAGCTTGTTTGACTTCAGAACAACATCTTCAAAAGTAAAGTTTTAAAATAATAAAAATAACATGTTTTTTCCAACGTTGTACATCCAATCAATATTTGTCTCATTAACCGTAACCACACTGAAGATGAGGAATGAGTGTCCTTAAACACCTTAAACCCCCAGGAACTGGAACCCTCAGTGTCACTCCCTGGAGGTGCCAGGTTTTGGGGTGAAGCTACAACTTCCCTGTAATGCTGAGTAACCTAAATTTTAAGGTAAACCTTTAGTTATTTGGTAAACCTTTGAGTTGCAGCTTTAAAAGATTAACTTGAAAGTAAAGTCCTTTCATAAAGGCACATGGGAGTATTTTAGTACTGAAGGTTAGAAGGAAACCAGTTGTGACCTCGTGTAAAATACCTGCCTGCTGGAGGTGGGGAAGGAAAACAAGGAGCAGTTCTGTGCTGTGCTGAGCATTTACAGGGATGGGTTGAATACTTGGGGTCTGTAACCATTTTATGCAGAGATGATGTGCAAACAGCAGAGCAGTGGTTGAACAGTCACCCTTGGAGTGCCCTGAACTCAGGGAGCCACAGTGGACAATGGATCTCATTTGAGTAAAAAACCCTGTTCCAAGTGTAACAAAGAGTAGATGAAATAACAGCTCAGCAGGGGCAGGAAGGAAGAACCATCTCTGAGTGGGAAAGAGGTGCCTCACACACAACATGGAAGGGACACATGTGACATGTGGGTGGTGGCAGCTCCTCTCTTCATCTTCCTTTTCCGCTACTCCCCTTCCCTTTCCTGTCTTCCCCAGTCCTCTCCTCCCCTTCATTTTCCTGTCACATCCATTTCTTTCCCTTTCCTGTCCTCCCCTTCCTTTTCCCATCCTTTCCTATCTTTCCTGCCCTTTGTTGTCCTTCCCTCCCTTTTCCTGTCCTCCCCTTTATTCCCCCTTCCTCCACTTTATTATCCTCTCCTTCCCTTCCCTCTCCTCCTGTCCTCTCTCCCTGGCACACCGTGGTCAATCCCGTGCTCCTGCCAAGGTGCACAAATCCAGGGAACATGTCACCACTGTCCCTGCTGGAACCTCCCCTGCCCCTCCCCAGTGCCTGACTGTGCAATCAGGTCTGATTCCCCTGGCCAGAGATAACTGACCTGTGCACTTGCTGCCTCTGCAGGAAGGGAATGTCCTCACTTCCTAAAGTCACAGAAGAAACTGGAAAAAAGGAAACTCAGTGACTTTTAAACACTTTGCACAAGCCAGGGGTGAAGTTCTCCATGTCTCTCTGCATCTCACTGTGGGCTGTTCCCAGTGAAATACCCCTTCCATGGCCATCATTCCTGGATCATGGACAGTTCTGGTTCCAGCAGGGCCTCCATGGTGAGGTGTTCCTGCACGGAGAGGAGCACGGGGCAAATGTGAACATCCTCCTCCTCTGCTCCTGAACAGATTCCCAGTAAATCACTGTGATGATACATCCCAGCAGCTCCAGTCCCCAGGGCTGTTTTCCAGAGCAGTGCAGTGCTTACATTTTTGTGGGGAGAAGCTTAAGTGGCTAAATGGGCCACATCTCAAACCCAAGAAACAGTCATACATTTCCCAGTGACAAGGACCTTTGGATCTATTTGCTCATTCCTTGGACTTGCAGGATGCTTTAACATTTATCTATTTTCAGTAAAATACCTGAAGGTCTTAGCCCAACTATATATATATTTTTTTTTTTACTTCTTTTTCTCTCTAAAACACAGCTTAGTACCAACCTGCTTCCTACACAGCAGAGCCCACTCAGCTGACAACTCCTCCAGGCCCTTGCTCTGTTTTTTCTCCTCAGAGGAACCTGCCTCAATCTGCTGGTCACAATGATTTCACCTGTGGTACTTGGCTCTGAAAAAGCAGGTTTCAGTGACACTCTTCAGCTTACAGGCTGCTGCACAGATATTTGGAAAAAAAAAAAAGGCAAACTTAAAACACATTGCAATTAAGTCAACAGTTGCTCAAAGTCCACTTACACAACTTTTGTTCTAACAAAGAATAACAGTGCATGTCTATGCTTCTATACTACTTTTTTAATATATAGACACACACCAAATATACATTTAAAGTTCTCTTGAAAAGCAAAGGCTGTATTCCAAACTCCTCTGTTCCTAAAGGCAGAGTTGTTACAAAGAAGGAACATATTTTTCTGGGGAAAAAAAAAAAAATAATGTGCCCAGAGCTTCAGACTCCAGTACTGCTGTAGCATTCCAGCTGACAGCACACTCTGACTCCACATTATGATCCTTAATTTTATCAAATGTAGGGCTGGGACAAACCACTCCCCACTCCTGTCACTGGTTTGACTTTCTTGCAGCCCATTTCTTACAGCTACTGGTCTGACAGCTTTGAAAAAGGGCTCAGGGCAGCACAAACCCACCTGCCTGAGAAGACATTAAGAGGACACCAAGCAGTTTGACTGAACCAAAGCTTTTCATGGTTCTCCAGCAGCAGATTTTCTGGACTGGGAGAACGTGAGGCAATCCCAGCACCAGGTGGGCACTGGGGCCAGCCCTGCATGTGCCTCACAGGCAGGAGAGGGCAGAATCCTACAAGGATTCCTGCCAGAAAGAAAAGGTTACTGATTAACCAGTGACAAACACTGGGGAAAAAATAGTCAGGGGTTTTTTTTGGGTTTTTTTTGGTGTTTTGCTCAGTAGAACCACAGCACATCCTGGGCCAGAAATACAAATATCTGAGAGCAAACTGCAGCTCCATGGGAGCAGCAGCTGCTCTGCTCAGAGCCTGGGGGCACTTGTGCTGCCTCAGAGCATCAGGCTGCAGTGTCACACGGGCTCTGTTGGTTGTGGTTTGGGTTTATTTTTGTTTTATTCCCTGCATTTGACATTCCAGCGCCTGCCCCTGGGCCCAGCACAACGTGTTCTCCTGGTGGGTAAAAACAACCTTGTACCTCCGGCCTGCTCTGGGCTGACTCAAAAGCACTGAAAGGCCACGAGAGAAGTAAACAGCTTCCATGTGCATTTACATTTTGGATAAATGGCCGGGTCACCCAAAGGACAAGGGCTGCTACGGGAGCTGCAGAACAATGGTTTCTGAAAATGCCAGCAAAAAAAAAAAAAAGTCCCCTGCACGCTGCAGCTGGAGAGGAATTGTAACAAATAAAAGAGAAATCCATCATACCAGCCATCCCTCAGCCCTCCAGACACCGCAAAAGCAAACATTTTCTCTGCCCTGGGAGGGTGACTCACCATTCCTGAGCTCTGCTGCTCCAAGGCCCTTGGCAAACAACCCACAACCAGCAGAACAAACCACCGGGTATCAAAATAATGATGTAGCAAAAAACATGTGTCTGAGCGGAGGTTTGGAGGGAGGAAAAAAATCAAATAACTCTTTAAAATGACCCACCATTCACAGGCCCAGACTCTCCCCCAGCCTGCTCTTGGGGAGGTCAGACCCCTGACACAGCAGCTCCAGTACCAGGAGCACCACCAGGGATGTTCCCCCTCTGCCAAGGTGCAATTCTAGGCCCTTCCATTCATCCTTTTTTCAGGATTTGTATGAGGAAACAGTATTGGAGATAAACATCCCAGAAACGTGACATTCTATTCATAACTACCTTCTGTGCCAGGACACATCTGTATTTGTGGTGTAACAGCACTTGCACTAAGAGGCTTCAAAGGATTATAGAGACAGCACAAACTCATTCCATTCTCTCAGTGGTCACTCTGATCTTGCAGCACGACACCAGTTACTACTTGTACATTTTGCTCCACTGACACTAATCCCAACTGCTCATCCTGCCCTTAAAAAATATATATATATTTTAAACCAAACCAGTATCCACCTGGAGAAACTCTCTGCTACTGATAAAACCTTGAGAGCAAAAATAAACAGCTGCCAAGGTCATAATCACACTGAGATCACAGCAGAGCTGACATTTATAAGCAGGTTTAAGAGGCAACTCCCCCACTTTGAGCTTCCCGATTTCAAACACTAAAAATCCACATTGCACAAACAGCTTCACTCACCTTTCTTTCTTTTCATAGACACCTTTCTGCCCTCTCCTTTGAGCACACACCAGAGGAATCTACGTGCACAAGAACATGTATTTGTGCACCACCCAGAACACATCCCAGGCCACACAGGAACTCCCACAGCAGTGTCAGGTGCACTCAGAGTCTCAGAGACAAGCACCCATTGCCAAGGCAGAGCTCCCAGGCCTGTTTGAGTGCCAGCCATCAGTGACAGGCACCTCAGCACTGCTCACGAGCCTCAGCCTGAGCTCTACATTCACCCTGGGATCATCCTGTTCCTGCAGGATCGATTTGCTGCAGGTTCCCATGGAATTCTGAAATAACCCCCACACCGCACAAGAATCAGAAACCTTGCACACTGTGCCAGTGCCTCACCACCCTCATTGTGAAGTATTTCTTCCTTATATCTGGTCTAAGACTTCTCTCTCTTACTTTGAAACCATTGTGGCTTCTCCTGCTGCAACAGGCCCTGCTAAAACACACAGACAACCCACTGATGCTCTCGGGGGGTACCTGCACTGCTGTGGGGAGAGAGCAGGTTTCACTGCATCTTTCACGCACAAATATTGAACCGTGAGCCACTTCTGACAGAAGACACAGCCCTGACTGATGATGGACACAATCCCAGAGCCTGTGTATCCACAGAAAGCACATCCACACCTTTTCCAGGGTGTGCTCAGCAATGATCCCTCCCATCCACACCTTTTCCAGGTTGTGCTCAGCAATGATCCCTCCCATCCACACCTTTTCCAGGCTGTGCTCAGCAATGATCCCTCACATCCACACCTTTTCCAGGCTGTGCTCAGCAATGACCCTTCCCGTTCCCTGCTCTGCCCAGCCAGCAGGAAGGAACAGGTTCCCACCACAAGCAAGACACCGAGCGAGCCTCCTGCGCTCGGACCCGAGCAGGGAGGAGGCATTTCTGGAGGGCTGGCTCCTGTTCAGCGGGAAAATGTTTCCCTTGGCTTGCCGGAGTCGCCGGGACCGCGCGCGGTGCGGGGCCGGAGGAGCCAGATTTCCATCCCCCCTCCCATTACTCTTTTTGATTGGCACTTTAATGAGGGCGCCGGGGGTCGACCCCCTGCCAGGGGGCCGGTTCATGCCCCGTTTATCTCACAGTCCATGTAAGACTAAAATAACACGCCAGGCTGAGTTTCACTGGCTTGTGATCCCACAGCCCACCGTGATGGATTGAGTGACTGCAGCAAGTTGGCAGCTAAAGTGTGTTGTAACAGTATCTTTCTGTCAGCGCAACACAATGGATTTGCTGATTCCTGGGCTTTTCCCAGTGTTCACCGTTACCATCGGGCCTCCAAACTTCATTTTCCAGGGGGCTGCGAAGTGATAATAAATAACACACCGAAGGTTACGCCGAGCTGTCCTTCCCCTCGGCTGCTGGCACAGGAGGGGCTCGGTGGCAGCTTCGCTGCACACACAGAACAGCCACAAATCCACTTGCTCTGCCAGGAAGGAGGGAAGGGGCAGCTCTTCTGCTCTTCTGTAGGGAGCTCGTTCTGCTGGGCCAACACCAGACTTTTCACCGGGAGAACAATCCAGCACGTTGCTACGTAAAGCAGTTCCTTCCACAAGAACTGTTGGGTGATTTGGGGCTGAACTTCGCAGGCTGCAGAGTCAGGACTAAGAAGCCACAGTCCTTGTCATCATCTTACTTGTTTGCACGGTTTAGAACCACCAGAATAATCCATAAGTGCACTAGAATATCCAGGAATCCTGTGCAAGGTATGGATTACGCTTTAGATCCCTTTATTTAATACTATAAAATATCCTCATATTTCCTCTATAGGAAAATCTCAAACAAGAGGGATTTTTTCCCCTTAAAAGCCTGGAGTCTTAGGAAATGGACTGAATTTTTATAAGTCCAAAGAGGTCCTCTACTGACACCTTATCTCTGTGCTCTGTTTCCTCAACATCCTTTCATTCTCCTTGCCACTGCCTGCAAAACAAACAACTTCCCTCAAATACCGGGGAGAACATTCTTATTTTCAGTTGTTGCCACCCCAGCCCCTCCCAGCACGGGTGAACAAATGAGCTCCACAACACTTCCTGTATAGGGATTTTTGACAGCACGAATTTCAAACTAACGACTCTCCCATCCCCCAAAGTCAGATCAAGAACCCACCCTGGGGCTAAGGAATAGGAAGGGTGAAGCTGTTTTCCTTGCTTAGAGGAGAACAACTCTGTAGATCCATGCCTGCAGTTTCTTTTAGGCCTTGCATGAGACAGTAACACAGCCAAAAATAGCTCCAAAATCAACTTTAGACCTTCAGCTGCCCTAATGTCAATATGTTCTCAAAAATGGCCCCATGGGCACCTAGAACTGATCCAACCTCACCCTTTTCCATCTCTGGACTCAAGATCCATCTCACTCTGGGCAAAACCAAGTGTGTTCCTGCCAACAGAAGACAACTAAGAGAGAGAATGAGTGAGGAAGGTGGAAAAAATAAAAAGAGAATACATATGTGGAAGGGACTCAGACAGGCAAGATGAAGGAAAAACACACTGGGATATGAAAAGGGAACATGATGGGGAAAAGGGGCAAGACTGAGGAGCTGCTTGAAGAAAACACAGCTGCTCTCAATGGCAGCTCTTGACCACACAACTCACTGCAGATTTCAAGCCACGGCACTGGAGGAAAGAGCCTCATGAGTTGAGGATCTTTATTTGTGAGAGAAGAGACAACTACAGCCACAAACTGGAGCAGCAGCAGCACAGGAGGTCACTACCAGTGCAATTCTCCCCGAGTGCGGAGCGTGCAATGATCCCAGTGCTGTGCAGAACTGCTCCAGAGACCCCAGGCCAGTCCTGGGCACCCCATCCCTGCAGGCTGCACACACATCACCCACTGAGCTTTGAACCAGCCACCTCAGAGCCTGCCAGCAACACCAGCCCAGCCCAGAGAGCAGGGGATGTGCTGCAAACACCGTTGGAAGCCTCACTGGAGCTCCCAGTGGTCCCTCCACCTCCCCAGCTCCATTCCAGGTCGGATCTGCCCACAAGAGCTGCTGCAGCCAAGCCCTGAACGTTCCTCTTGGGAGAACCAGACACTTACACCTTAACACAGAAGAGGGCATCCTGAGCCTACAGCCAGAAAGCCTGGGAATTATTATGAAAAACGAGGGGGTGGGGGAGCTCAAGGGACCAGTGGGAGGATGCGGGAAATCAGTAACACTGATTTGAATAACTGGTAACAATTATTCGATCTTTTTTGGTATGAATCATCTCAGAGACTCATCATTTAAATGATGTCACTCAAGGGGCAGTAAAAAATACAGCAGAAGCAGCCAGCCTGCCATGACACAAGGGTTTGGAGCCACAACAGGATTGGCCAAACTGGTCTGGGAAACTTCACCAAGGCGTGGAAAAGGGAGCAAGTTTTGTGGAGAATACACACTCTGACAGATCAGACAAGCAAATTTGTCTTTAGCAAGATTATGATGTTACTTGGAGCTCTGCTGAATCTGCCTGAAATGCTGGAGAAGGAGTAGCCTCGTTTATCTGATGACCACTGACCTTGTCCTTGCCCCGTCCCCTCCCCAGTGGTGGAATTTGCATTTGAAACTACAGGTTGTAAAATCAGCCAGCCAGAACCATCCCAAGGGAACAAAACCAAACCAGAACAACACAGCAAAACAACACAACAGCCCAAACCAAGTAAACAACAGAGTGAGTTTGAACAGAGTCCATTCTCTGGGGCTCATCAAACCCACCCAAGAGCTCCTGTCCTTGCAGGGGAAAGGGCAGCAGAGAGTGGTGCTGCCTTGTGCACGTCTCAACTCCTTTTATCTCCTTCAACAACTGCAGGAGAGGAAAACCTGTTTGATTAACAACCAGTAGCATCAGCAACAGGCTCGGGAACTCAACAGCAACCACATTACATTTCTTACTCCCTTTGTTTCTCACCTACTGGGCAAAATCCTGTGCTCCTTTGCAGCCACAACCACACCCTGGCAGTGGCTGAGGAGCTGTGTGTGAACTGGCACTTCCAGGTAGTCCCAGAAGAGCCTGACCTCCTTCCCAGATCCAAAATGGGGGGGTGGGAACCACCCCTGTGTGGGGGGCAGAGCAAGAGGCAAACCCCAAACCATTCACTGCTCCAGGAAGGCTCGTGGCTCCCTGGAGTCAGGGATTATCTCCAGGTTTATACAGTGCTCTTCCCTTTTCAGACACCCAGCTCCCAGCACTTCCCATCCAGAAGTGCACTGACAGTAAAAGCTCCTTAAGGAAGGGGGGGGGGAATCTATGAGGAATTTTTTTTATTTTACTTTTTGCAGTTTTATGGAATTTAGGCACACAGAGAAAAATACAGGACCTAGTTCCTGGAAGTGCTGTGCATTAGGCAGCTGCTATTGGTTTCAGACCTTCTTTACCTACAGTGAGAAAAAAGGGAAAAGAAAAACTAGAGGAGAATTGGAGAGTCCCAATTCAGCCCAGGGTTTTTAGCCTAAAAACGAGGTTGAAGTAATACCAGGTATTACTGTCCAACAAACCTGCCACACCACAGAACAGAAAAATGGCCTAAAAACATATCAAAAACTTCAAAAACCTCAGGCCTCACCAATTGTGATGGAGCAACTGCTTAAAAACCAGTAACTTTAACTTGCTTAGAGCTTTCTGGGGAGGAGAGGGAGTGGAGGCAGTGGGGATTTGGGAAAGGGTCAAGAGAACAAGTTCAGCTCTTGGTTCCACACACACCTCTGGAGCAGAGCCCACTGCACAGAGGTGATGTGAGCAAGAGCCAAGAGCACCATGTCGAGT